TCTCTTTCAAAACCGGAGTTAAGAATGAAGTAATTGGTTAACCACAAGAAACTGTGCTCAGCTGTATAATCAGATGGGAGGAGGGAATCAGTAGGCATTGAAGTCCTCTGGAAAGTTCCATCAAAAGGGATTCCAAAGGACCATCTAAAGTAAGAATATAGAACAAAGGGGAGCCATGCTTGTTTCATGTTTATGCCATGCTAGTGTGCTTTGATATGCTATGCTACATCATGATGGACTACAGCATATAGGTCTCCTATAACAGGTAGATAGAAAAGTTACCTTTTTTATTTGTCTGTTGCTAAGCTATAGAGACTGTACTGCATAGTGATGTCCTTTTAGAAACTTTTGAATAAACCTTTATATATTTTTACCAAAGTCTGCTTTATCTGGGTATATTTAACCTTGAGGACCCACAGGGCTGGGTGCTGCTCAGGCAAAAAGGAGTGGTGACCCAAGGGGACCCAGGTTTGGGTCTCTGACAGTGTCTTATATACTTCACTTTGTTATACACTTTTAAACAACATTTACATAGAATTTCAAATGTGTTCATGTGGTTGACTGTTATCAAGACTCTAAATAGGCATGTTTGCCACACAATTGCCTGTTACAAAGTATAATAAAGCACCACTCATGTCTGGTAGCCATCAGAATGACTATAATCTTATCAACAGCAGGATTACTTAAACAGATCAGCATGGTATTATTATATAAAAAAGCCATCTAGTGCATGGACAGCAATGATAAGAGCTCTGCTGACAGATCTTGTAGACTACTTTTTGGTGCAGTTGCCAGATTATTTAAAACCAAGGCTTTGAATCTGTGAAGAGAGGGCAATTTAAGTTAGGATATCCCCTTTAACATATTTAATCAAAAGGAAGGATGAAATATTAATTTGGCTCTTCTGTTTTGTGCTACATCATCAAAGCAAAGAGAAAGATATTTAATAACATATGGAAACATAAGATTTTAAAATCAGATTATAAGAGGGGCTTTTCAGAATACATATTTGTACCTGAGGGTAAAGTCAAGCTTTTCATGTTTTCTTGTTTTTATATTTAGGCCATATGGCATCTGAAGGTGATGTATCATGGGCCCATGTGGTAGCCAGTTCCTAAGAAAATCTATAGGGCAATTTAAGGATCAGCCATTTTATTTTAATAACTGGCATACTCAACATTCATTATCATCCTTCAAAAAATGCAATTAGTTCTAATTGCATAATTTGTCACATTCTCCCAGATGGCAATGGACAAAGCAGTAATAGAACATTGAGAACATTTTTGTACAATATTTTTAACTTTAGCTCAAATGTAACTTTAGCTTAAAATGTAGAAAACAGCAGCCCTCACTTGCCACCTCCAGTCTGTCTTGCCACCTCCAGTCTGTCTTGCACTTGATTCGTATTTGCATATAGTCCACTTAATGTCTACTTGGTCCTTTCTTGATTGCCAAACAACTCTGTGAACTAGAAGGTGAGCAGGTGATCTGCTTCCTTTCAAATTACAGTATGTCAGGATTGGTGAGGTTATATGGTGGTGTTTTATCTAGGGATATGCAAAATTCCCTTGAGTTGATTTGAAATTGGCTTTGGAAATTTAGCTGCCTCCCCTACCTAAACATCTGGGAACAAGAGTATTAGAACTATAATCTAGAGTATTAATACACTAAGAAAAAAAGGAGCAGAGACAATACTCATTAACAAAATTAGCTTTGTCAGGTGATCTGTTCACAGAGTATACAGCAATCAACTAGAATTTCACAGAGAGTGAGGGCTTACTGTTAAAATTTTCTGCACATGCTCTGAACCAGGTAATTATGAACTCTGGCAACATGACTAGTGATATCAGTAATAAATGTTTCACATACACAAATCATTGCTTTGAACTCTCCATTTGCTTTCCATAGCTCTCTGGAATTAAGTCCTACTAATGAAATTGTTGGGGAAATACAGGACCCTGAACTGGATGGCCCATGCTAGCCTGATCTTGTCAGATCTCGAAAGCTAAGCATAGAATCATAGAATCACAGAGTTGGAAGGGGCCATACAGGCCTTCTAGTCCATCCCCCTGCTCAATGCAGGATCAGCCCAGAGCATCCCTGACAAGTGTTTGTCCAGACGTTGCTTAAATACGGCCAGTGAGGGGGAGCTCACCACCTTCCTAGGCAGCTGATTCCACTGTTGCACAACTCTTACCATTAAAAAGTCTTTCCTACTATCCAGCCGGTACCTTCCAGCCCTTAATTTAAACCCATTATTGTGAGTCCTATCCTCTGCTGCCAACAGAAACAGCTCCCTGCCCTTCTCTAAGTGACAGCCCTTCTAAGTGACAGGGTCGGCCCTGGTTAGTATTTGGATGGGAGACCACCAAAGAATCCAGGGTTGTGATGCAGAGACAGGCAATGGCAAACCACCTCTGAACATCTCTTGCCTTCAAAGCCCTATGGGATCGCCATAAGTCAGCTTTGATGGCACTTTCTAGCACCACCAGTCCAGTTCTAATGTGAAATATTTAAGTGCGAATTAGGCAGGGTTGCTTTGGCAAAATATGATAATATTTGGTTTAACTTTGCATGACCATCTTGTAATGGGAGTTTTTTTATAACTGTCTTCCACATCATTATTAAACATGAAAAGTTTTGGAAATTACCGTTTCTAGATTCCTCTGTTAAATATAGTAAATACATGAATATAACATTTTCCCCCATCAGCTTTATTTATTATTATACTTACTTTTTACTAAAATGGAAGCTTTTTTATAGCTTTCATGTTTTCCAGTTTATGCTTGAATTTTCATGGATTTATATTTGTGCAGAGTGAGGCCTTTGGATTAATGATTGGCATGTTCAGAATTCCATAAATTTGATTGTTTATAGTGTGATAACTCTATTGAACAGTAAGGTATCAGAATAAAAATCAGTATATATATTCAGGATATAAGCTCCCCTGTATACCTATTTTCTAAACTGGGGGGAGGAGGAAAGCAATGGTTATGTTGTAACTAAATATCTGCCTTGAAGTTTAAGATATCAGAATGAAATTTTCATCAGGTGCTAGACTTGGAGGAAGATCCAGGTTCAAATCTCCACTCAGTCATGAAGCTCATTGTATTACCCTCTCTCAGCTGAACCTACTGGCAGAGTTTTTGTAATGATAAAATGAAGGAAAGGAGAATAATATAAGCTACCTGAGCTCCTTGAAGGAACAACAGAATATAAACAAATATATTTGCCATACATGTTCTTGATACTTACAAGTATCTATTTATTTTCCCTGTGAGCCAATAAGAACTTCTGCATAATAAAAATAGCATGGGGAAACAGCCAACCCACACTTCTTTGGCACTGTTTCCCCCACCAACTTTGTTCCTCCTTCACCAGTTGTTGTGGTTGACAAACTCCAGAACATTTCTGTAAATTTGGAGATGGAGCCTGAGGAGGACCACAGTGGGGTACAATATTATAGAATCCACCCTCTAAAGCCTTCATTTTCCTCAGGAAACCTATCTGTGTAGTCTGGAGATCAGTTGTAGTCCCAGGAGATTTCCCGGTCCCACCATCCTATGGGGTAAACATTTAAAAATCAGTGGGTAGCAGGGATCCTGATTGTGGACTTATTGCATCATATTTACTCTTACACTGAGTTGTATTTCTTCTGCTTATACTTCTCTGGTGTAACATATGATGGGAGAAATCATGTGATGTAAGGGCATTTATGGGAATGCATACCTTTCCCCTTTATGCATTATAGCAAAAGTATGGGAAAAGCAAGCACAACTCATTTTTATTTCATCTTTCTGAGTAAAATTGAAAACTGTCTTTAGGTGAACACATCTTTTTGGGCATCTTTCAAAGGTGGAATTTGAGGCTTTTATCTTTGGTTTTAGCTGGGGATATTTTAAGTATTATCATAAGCTGCCTTGAACCAAAAGGAAAGGCAGGATATAAATGCTTTAATAAATAAACAAAAATAAATGTGTATATAATATAGCCGCTCATTAAACCACCATAGCTCCCAAATCTACTTTTCTAGGTAGAGACAGAATTAGAGCTCATAGCAAGGTATTAGTCAACTGTTTTTCTTCATTGCCAATTGGACATTGGTTAACTAGACTAGTTCTTTATAGTATATCGGTTGACCCTCCCTGGCCCGAGGGAGGCCAGCCTAGCTGCTACTAGGGCCGGGGCCTTTTCGGTGGTGGCCCCTACCTGGTGGAATGAGCTCCTGGAGGAGATCAGGACCCTGTGGGACCTTTCGCAGTTCCGCAGTGCCTGCAAGATGGAGCTCTTCCGCCATGCATATAATTAGGGGCCGTCGCCACAGTGCACGGCCCACAAAGTCAACATTGAGCAGCTGCTATAAGAGTTGACGAGCAGAATAACATCTAAGCACTTTTATGCTGGAAGCTGGAAATCCATCTGAAAGCATTCCTTCTGATTGAATTTTAACCGCCACCAGCACTTTGTAATGCATTATTTTTAACTGTTATGTTTTAATTTGTATTATGTATGTTTTTATCATGTATTTATGTTATTGGAAACCGCCCTGAGCCTGCTTTGCGGGGAGGGAGGGGTACAAATTTGACAATAAATAAATAAATAAAAAGAGAAAAAATACACGTGCATTCTTTCAAATCATCAGGATCAGAAGTTTTTCATTATATCGATCCTTTGAGGTTTTAAATTATGAAGAAAAAGTAACAGGATGGCAAATAATCCATCAATTCCTTTTTGTTGTTCTGGTTTTTTTTTTTACTTTTCATGCACAGTAATCTTGTAGCTCACTTTTAAATCTCCCCATTTTTGTTTGTTCCAGCTTCCTCTTCAGTGGTGTCTGCTTGGTACTTACTAATATGCCTCAACAATTCAGAAGCAAGCTCAGTCTCCCAAGGGACTGTTAACATATAAAAGTGTATGCTAGGATGCCAGTAGGCATCACATTTGAGAAAAGAATGGTTTGATTAATTATGAATGCCCTTTTATTCCCATCTTGTGTGCAGGACCAGCTCCTCACCTATTCGTACCACAGGCTCCAGGAATTACACCTGCCATGCCTGCTGCTGAAGGCAAGTTCAATTTTCCTTCTTCAAAGATTCACTGATGGCTTCTTGTGGGGATACTTCTAAGCCCTGCCTGTTTTGAAGCCAATGATATAACTTTCATTTTACTGTATCAGAACAGACTCAAGTCATATAAGTAGGAAGTTACCCATCTTGGTTCTTGGAGTCCAAGACCATTTTGTAGATTGCATAGTGCATATTAAGAGTTTGGAATGTATTGTTTGGCATTTGCAGGAGTGGTCATCATTAGCCGCTTCATATGTAACTGCAGACATGAACAGTATCTGTGAACTGATGCTCTGTTAAACACGTAGGTTCTGAAAACCATAGCCATTACTTCATAACACACTATAGTACATTTTGTTTGTCTATTTATGATATTTCTCAGGTATTATTCCATGAAAAGTACCCAAAGTCATAAAGCAGTTTCAAACAAAAGCAAAACCAATACATATATACACAAACCTATAAAAAATACATAAAGACACAGTAAAACCACATAAACAATGCTAAATATCATTATATGGTTGTCTGAAGTGACAGTATTTTAGGGGGGCCCTGATCTGGATGGCCCAGGCTAGCCCAGTCTTGTCACATCTCAGAAGACAGTCAGGGTTAGTCCTGCTTTATGCATGAATGGAAGACCATTCAGGAAGCCTGGGGTTGCTATGCGTTGGCTCCGGTCACACGGGCAGGAAACTGCGGAGGGGAAGCGTGGCTGTTTGCCCCGGGGCAAACTAACGCGCAGTTAAGCGATCAGACCTCCTGTGGAGGTTCTGTGGAGGTACCGTGGAGGTTCTGTGGGAAGGGAGAGGTGCCCACAGGACACGCCTGCGCGCAACGAAGAAGTGCGCGGTGCGGCAAACTGGTTTTCTTTTTTTGTGTACACGACGAATGCGCATGCTCCGTTGGGTTCGTGTGCGCATCCACGGAGACTTGGAAAAAAACAACACCTTTTTCGCAAGGGGACATGGGCGGGCGCCGGATGCCACCGGAAACGCGATCAGACGCCCACCCTTGCCCCGCAGTTTCCGGAAACTAGTACCTCCGAGGTACTAGTTTTTTGCTGCGTGTTTTCGGCGGGAAGCCTCAGTTGTGCCACGGAAGCGCTACGCTTCCCAGATGTGCCGGTGAGATCGCGCCCGGAAACTCCGCCTGTCTTCCGTCTCTCTTGCATGGCTAATGTTCCATGTGACCGCAGCCATAGACTACTTCCTGTCCTAAGACTAACTGAGTGGTGGGTGTGGACTTATGACACACTTCCGGTGATGGCAAGGGGTGTGGCCTTATGACACACTTCCGATGATGTCAGGGGGTGTGGCCTTATGACACACTTCTGGTGATGTCAGGGGGTGTGGCATATGCTAATGAGTTATGCTAATGGGTTCCCCTAGCTCTTTTCCTACTAAACGACCCCTGCCTAAAACAGAATATCCTGTCCTTCAAGCAGAGGAATCATTTCAGATTTCATTGATCAAAGGAAAAGATATCTTTGAACTGGGGGCAATTCCTCAGGAAGTGAGACACACTTTTGTCTATATTGAATATTAAATTGCAAAAAAGCAATGCATTTTAAGAGTAACAGTTGTACTTTCTGCTTATACTTCCTGATATCTACCACAATATTTTCAGTGCACTGAAGTCACTCTGTTTAAAGCAAACGACATTTGGCATATCACAGAGGCCCATTTAACTGATTTCAGCTATAGTTGTTTACTAGAAATCACCAGTTTGGCCAGAGCTTTAGGTATATGTCCGGAGGTCTACTCAGATCTGGCACCCCTGGCCTTAGCCCAGGAGTCCCCATGAGGGCCGAAGCGATGATGGGGGCCAGCCCAACAGCAAGCACTTGGTGGAGTCAGGAGAGTGAGAGAGCAAGGGCCCACTCACAGAGAGCAGGATAGGTTGAGCCAGGGAATGAACAAAGCAGCAGCTGAGGGCAGATGGGACCCACCCGAGATCAGATGGCATCAAGGCAGCCAAAAGGGGGAAGGGAAGAGGGGCTACCGACCCCCATCCTCACATCCTACCCCACAGTCAGCACAGGGAAGGGATGTAGACCCACACTGCCAGCAATGTTCCCTCTAAGCTATGGAGGCTTGTGAGCAAAAATTCTACTTTATGAGCTACTGGCATTAAAGTTGTGAGTGAGTGATTCGGCTACTGCGTAAATTAGTTTGCTCTGGAGCCATCCTTCCTGAGCTAAGAGAAAAATCTGTGAGCTGGAGGCTAAAAAACTGTGAGCTAGCTCACACTAACTCAGCTTAGAGGGAACACTGGCTGCCAGGCACCGAGGATGAAGAAAAGGGGAGGGGTTGGGTGCAGGTGTTGGGCTTTGGGATCAGGAGATCCCTTTGGCCTCTCTCTTGTGATGGGGAGGAGGGAGCGAGCAAGGAGGGAGGAGCTGGACTGGGGACAGGTGATTTAACTGGAAGCAGAAGGACTGGCTGGGGAGAAGGAACCCAAGACTCTATGAGGATATGGAGGATGCCAGAGAGGGAGAGCTCCCAAGGAATAGACTCTGGGGGTGATGGAGTGGGAATTGGGTGAGTTCCAAACCCACCCCCCCTGAATTCTGAGGCCACGTCCACTGTTTTCCAAGAAGAAATCACACCCTGGAGCAGTGCATCCCTCCACCCAGGGAACCCTGGGCTTGACAGTATACCTCAGTAAAAATCACACTTCGTTTGAAACTTAAAGGGAAACAACTCAATCCTAAGCACCCCTGGCTTAAAGTATTTCTATTAGATTCTTGGTCAAGTTTTTCTTGAAAGCCCATATGAGGAGAAGAAGAAGAGAAGAAGAGATTGGATTTATACCCCGCCCTTCACTTGGCGTCTCAGAGCGGCTTACAAACTCCTTTCCCTTCCCCTCCCCACAACAGACACCCTGTGAGGTGGGTGGGGCTGAGAGAACTCTGACACAAACTGCTCTTTTTCAAGGACAGCTGTGCCAGAGCTTGTGACTGACCCAAGGTCACATCAGCAGGTGCAAGTGGAGGAGTGGGGAATCAAACCTGGTTCTCCCAGATTAGAGTCCGCACATTTAACCACTACACCAAACTGAAAGGTGCTATGGTTTCTTGAGGTAATGTATGCCATTGCTAAACCATTCTTGCCGCTATGAAATGTTTCCTAATGCTTTACTGGAATCTGCAGTTTTGTGTTTAAATCAAGTCTTCAGTGTATAAGAACATTTTTATCTGTTTGTATTCAATAAGTGAAGATGACCACTATATTGTCCCTTAATCTCATTTTAATTTGACACCAACATATCCAGTTCTTTCAGTGTCTCCTTAATTCTTCCATCTAAGTTGCCAGTAATCTTCTTGAATTGTAGTGCCCAGAACTGAACAGAATATTCTATTATCTCTTTCTTTCTTCTCTTCAGCTTACTCTCTGCCTACAGTTTTTCTTTTCCCTTTTCTCCCTTTCTTTAATTATTATGTAACATCTGTGAAATCAGTAAATTCTGTTTGGTGTTCTGGAGTTTCATCCTCAGATAATAAGAATTTGAATCACCTGATCATTGTGGTATGAACTTACACACATGCAGCCTGTTATTGGGAAGGGGAGGCAATATGAAAGAACCACAGCATTCAGATTGCAGTCATTCATTAAGGTAATCTAGCAAGGCACAGAGAAGAATAAAGGGAGTTCCTCACATCGAGCTTTGGCCACAAGTGCCACATGCCCTGTCCCCTTCAGCAGAAGTCATACCTCAGGCATATTGCCTTAAAAGACTGTCCCTCTGCTAGGGGAAAATAACATGACCATGTTACTGGAGAGGGAGAATTATGTGACCCTTCTAAGAACTCTGTCTCCAACCATGATGAGTAGAAATGGATTTCAGTCTGTGACACTGATGGACAGGGAGTCATGTGATGTGGCTTCTGTAAACCAGGAGGGTAACACAACCCCTCAAAGACCTCATACTATTATCCTTGACCAACAGTAAGGGGTTTCAGTCCATTGACACAGATGGGGGGGAAACTTCTTATAAAGGTGTTACACGACCCCTCAAGTCATGGGTCACATGCCATTTCCCCCAGGGGAGTGAGAAAGGCATTAGGTGAGATTTCTGCATCTGTCACTTTTGCTAGAGCCCAATTTTTTTATGTGAGGCATCCTCCCTTGTTCTTCTTAGGGCATTGGGAAAGAAGTCAAGTGAGTGGAAGTGGGAGTGAAGTTCTGAGGAGCACTCTATTGTGTTAGATGCAACACAGCTAAGTAACTTACTTTGTTGATTAGATACTCAGTCTGAAAAGCAATTCTAGGTCCTTTGGCTTATCTAGGAAGAAGTGGAAGGTGGCTTGTTCCCACTCATCTCCTGACTCACTGCATACAAGCTATCTACCCATTAATTCAAATGGTTTCCTGTTCCTCTGATGAACCCTCTTAATGGTTCAGTGATTAAGGAACCAGGTCCACTAGCTGACTACAAGGACTTGATTTCAGTCCTGACATTCAAAAGATTGTTTTGTTACTGCGTATGATAGTGGAACCTACACGGCTTATTTGTAAAACCACATTCATGAAGAATTGAATGCATGTCAATCAGTTTTTCAGAATGATAAATACACATTGACTTAAGATGAAATTATGCTTGAAGTTTGACTTTGAGTGCCTAGTTCATGGAAGTATGAATAACACATTACTCGTGCTGCTTCTCAAGCTATTTTAAGCCATTATTTAACTGGCCATCTAGATTTCATACAGTAGTTGACGTATGTAATCATTTGCACTAATTGATGCTTTCAGCTACAGAAATGGTTTATAAGGCCCACATTTTAAACTCTGTATAGAAAAGTGTACAAACCATATTTTTTCACGCACACACACAAAAATAAATTTCCAGGAGTCAATTGAATGCATTCAAATATGGAAAGCAGTAAGAAGGAAGAAAATGAGCTGCTTAAGCCAGTTTGGTGTAGTGGTTAAGTGTGCGGACTCTAATCTGGGAGAACCGGGTTTGATTCCCCACTCCTCCACTTGCACCTGCTGATG